AAAGCATTCAGGTCGAGTAACTGTAGGTCCATCAACCACCAACCGAGTGTCCCCACCAACTTTCACTATACAAAGTTCCACCTTTGGTGTAGTGAGTCAGGAGAGATGAAGCAGACAGACAAAAACTTGACTAAAACGTAAAAGATTTTGCCAGGGTAGCACCTTATATTATGAAGCCCGGGGGAGAACTGGGATGGCTTGACCTCAGGAAGCTCAGTGATGGAGTGCTAGTTAGAAAGCCATGCAGGGGACCGCAGCGAAATGCTATGGTGGCCAGATGATTAACTCCAATTGAGGACTCATTAACATTCCTCTACTATGGTGGAGAGGGTCACCGGTTGAGATCTTTTCCAGTAAAAGGACATGCTCAGTAGGGGAGGGAAGAACTCTGCCATCATTACTGAACCAGTTGACCTTGTGGTGGGTGGTAACCATGTTGAACAGTTGACCTTTTTGATTATAGATTCACCTTAGTTTCTTATAGTTCTTGGGTTAACTTTTTGGGGTTTTGGGTTGGGCTACCTCTTGTTCTGGTACCTCATACCAGAACAAGAGGTAGGAGGAGGTTTTGTTCCTTTTTGGACCCTGAATCATAGGCCATGTAGAAATACATTTCTGATTCTCTGAAGGCAGAGATTATTCGCCTTCCCTCTTCCCCGGCATGTACGGGTTTCTTTTTTGTGGGAAAGAAGGATGGTTCTCTCAGACCCTGCTTAGATTATAGAGGTCTCAATAAATTAGAACCGTTACCCTATTCATCTTATCAACTCTGCTTTTTAGCAGATTCAGGGAGCCAAGATCTTTATGAAACTGGATCTCCGCAGTGCATGCCATTTGTTATGTATTGGTGAAGGAGATGAGCGGAAGACAGCATTTAACACCCCAACAGTCATTACGAATATTAGAGTCATGCCTTTCGGCCTCACTAACGCTCCAACTGTCTTCCAGCGTCTAGTGAATGAGGTACTCTAGGTGATATAATAAAGGTGAAAGCTGTCAGAGTACTGATACAATATGAGTGCTGAAAAAAACCTTAAGATTCTGGAATTGTACTGTCGCTACAAGCATGTTTAGTGTGAGGGATTGTATTCGGGTCAATAAGTCGATGCAATCAAATGGTTTACCTTAGTTAGAAAACATTGAATAAATTTGACTGGTGATCTGGTAAACTGTAAAGTGCCTTGAGATGACGTGTTGTGAATTGCCGCTATATAAATAAACTGAATTGAATTGAATTGGACACTGTGGAACCCCTTTGCATAGCATTTTGTTTTGATGGCAAGTACGTGATGTCAGGAAAGAGAAGTGGCGTGCATGTGCTTCTAAAGCAAATGTTCCAACATGCAGTTAATGTGCACTGTAATTCATGGATAACCTTGTGTTACGTTCTTCTGCTCAGGTCTTGGAAAACAACTCCGCTTTTTTAAAACTATCAATTAGCCTGAGAGCTTCATGTCTGCCACACAGAGATATGCGTTTTTTTATTGCAAAAAGACTTACGTAAGAATTACACTAGAAATACAGGTGGTGGTATCTCTGAAGCATATGTTCTGACATGCTGTTTATGTGCACTCTAACTCTCTTAAACCAAGTGTTAGGTCTGTTTCTCAGGTGCTGCTAATCAGCTCAATAGCCTTATGTCTTTTATTCACACGCACAAAGCTGCATAAGAGACAATGCTGATTTAGGACACGTGGAATGCAGTTGTTAACAGGCAGATAATGGAGCTGTAGATTTAAAGAGAAAACTTGTGTAAAAATACAATCTGCATCCCTTTCCCTCCTCAAATCAGCAACATTTGGAGAACTGGATTTTCTGCAGAATCCATCACGCAAGCTAAAAACTGGAATTTTCTTGAGATGTGTTTTGCAATTGCATGAATTTATGTTATTTGATGTTTAATCTAAAACATTTCGGGCTGTTATATTTTGCCTTGTGAACACACATCCAGATTGCTGCAGTCTGCTAAGGACAAAAGGGGAAAGTTTTAAATTCAGTACAACCAGAAAACTCAGAACACATTTAAAATAAATTCACATCTACTTCTATTCAACTCCGAGATTTAACATATCTCAGTTAAATCCCCTTTACTGAGCCATGTCATGATTTCTGTTCTACCTTAATTGGGCTACTCAGTCCTCCACACTCTCATGCTAATTGCTTATTCTTATTTCCTTGTCTTCACCTTGTCCTTTAAGACCTTATTATAACGCTTTATTACAACCATAATGTTTACTTTAGTTTATTTGTTCAACAGTTTTGTGTCAGACTATAGGAGCTTTGCTGTGACATGCAATGAAGGTGTGTTGCTGATTTTGTAACTTGACTTGATTTGGGTTAGTGCTTGTTGCATTATATTAGTGCATTCCTCAAAAAAAAAGCCTAAATGTGCACAAGTAACCTGAGCAAAGAAATGATGAAGCAGTGCCTGTCCTGAAGTTTTCTCTTTTATTAATTTACTATGTCAGTGAGCAATGCCTGATACAGGTTTGCAATTGTTATATTGGCCTAGATGTTTTGTTTCAAGGCTATTCCTGTTTGTGTCTAATACATATATAGCACTCATTTCTTTTCATTGTTAGATTTGAAGATTTTTTTAATGGATCACATGTTGTCATTAAAAATAAGCTTCTGTCAATAAATGTCAAACTGATTTTGTCTGCTCTAAGAATCCAGCTCAATTCTGTCAAGTCATATGCTAAGTAAATAACATCATAACAAAATCTTGTGACATTTTTCTTTTGTGTTTGTGGTTCCTATTCATGCGTGAATGCTGGAGCTGACAGAGGCATTGCAGCAATTCACCGGAGGGGTCCAGACTTCTTTGGAACATGTGGATCCACCTCCACACGTTAGCTGATGCCAAACCAGCAGAGCAATTCATTCATCAGTTGTGGGATAGCGCAGGCTGTAGAATCCATTTAATGCTGAGATTATCTGGAAACAGCAGGAGTTCAAATCTTTCAGCACTTTCTGTCTGAACATGTCCAAATAAATGTTTTTCAGTAAAAGTACATGTGATAAATTTTGGGCCTGGAAGGCACCTAATTAAACAGAGAAAACATTAAAACTATTTGGTCCAAGATGCAATAAAGGCTACATTTTAGCTGTTTCACTGTCAACGTCTCTCACAAAGAAAATTACGAAAGCTTTTACATAGGCTGCTTTACAGGAACCAAGACACTGTACTGGCGGTGACACCTGGCCTGCTCTGGGGTCCATTGGAACACCATATTTTCTTACATCCCTGTTTGCAGTCTTAAATATACAGTACTGGCACAGCACACTGTAAGCTCTTATTTCTTCCTTCTCCTATACGTTCTGCTCTACGCCTCCGCTGTGCTAGGCTCACCCTCTGTTCTCAGCGCCTAACCTCAATCCATCTTCAGTTATATGGGTAATAGTGGTGCAGATTTTAACAGAAAAGTTCTTGGTTAAAGCAATTCCAAAGAAATTTGTTTTGGTCAATTTTGGCTCCAGTCAGCGGACAAAACCTGCATTGTTTTGCCTTAAGGAAGACTGCATTTCCCTTGAGGACCAGTGCATAGCTTGGTAAAATCCTATAAATAAATGTAATGTTAGGTTTGGTCATTTTACAGTAAACACACCTATAGATCCCAGCTGGAAGGTGCTGCGTTGCCTCAATATCAAGCCTGCACAACTTGCACGAATATACATTCTCTCAGAGAAATTTAGTCACAGGGGAATCGTTTGAGTTTCACCTGGTTTAATTTAGTAAAAAGTCTTCTTTAAGGAATCTTTGGCTATCCGATTATTAATTAACTAACAGAATAATTGACAGATTAATCGATTTACAAAATAATAACTAGTTGCAGCCCCATATTCAACCTTCAACTTGTCGCATGTCACTCTGCTGCCATCTATTGGACATTGCTTGCTATGAAATCAGCTTTTAGAAGCTCTTAACTCAATGTGGTATTGTAACAAAACACATTTGAGAATAAAACAGTTTTATTTATTAATTTTAACATTGAAACATTCTATGTCAAACATATATAAAATGCATGGTTTGTAGTTAATGGAAACTCTGTTTTTAGATTACAGAATATTGTATTAGGCTGTCATTTAGGGTTTAATACACATTGTGCAAATGGGTCTCCTCTTTAAACAGAGAAAGTATAATCTACTTCTTTGAGTTAAATCAGCAGGGAAAAGGGATCATGATTGTTCCTATATGGACTTAAAACTCATCCGATGATAGATATTTATTTTATACTGCCTATTTACAAAGTTAAATAAACTGGGATATTCGTAGCTGACACACTGGAATTGTAGTTTTTCAAAATGTGAAGCATTAACAGATCCATTTGAGTTCAGCAGGATCATCTGCAAAGCAAGTTAGCGTCTGCCTCCTACAAGAGAAGGGGTCAGTCAATCGTTTTGGAACAGCTATTATTTAAAACTTATCTTTTCATACAACAACAAAAAAAAAGAATAAAAAAATAACTACATTAAAACACAAATAATAATTTATGAGAATAATACCCAAATATTTCTCCCCAAATTAACTGTAATTCCATAATAAAAGTGTTTCTAGGACTCCCTATAGTCCAAGAGATTAATCGTTTCAGGAAAAAAGTGCTTTCATCCCAAAGACAAAAGTCAACAAAGAAAAAAAACATAATTTAAGGGGAAAACCATTCCAAAAAATGACCTGGGTCTTTTACAATAAATCATGATTATTGCGATGTTTTGATTTAAAAGACAAGTAATTGAATATTTATTAATGCATCTCTTCTTTCTTTCCATAATTATATTAATACTTGTCAAAATCACAACCCTACTTTTCAAGACTGTGTAGAAACCTTGAGTCGGATCAGAGGTTCATCACTTGACTCATGCAGAACCCAAATGCACAGAGATGCCTGCTGGAGCAGAGACCTGTCAGAAACCGTCATGGAGGTTGAGAGGTGGAATTCAGCGTTGGCTGGTCACATTCAATTATGTACACCAAATGCTTTTTAATTAGCTTTCTATGAGTAAATCTTATTCCTTTCCTTTTTTTTTTTTTTTGTCTAATTAGCTTAATCCATTCCAATTACACAGAATTATCGGCACAATAAAGCATAAGCTTAAGAAATACATGACTGAACCAAGGAAGCAGTTACTACTGATTGTGAAACCTCCTTCTATGTCTCCTTAAAGCGCTCTCCCATTTGAACATAACATCACAAACATCACAGCTGAACGATTTTTCCCCAGTGTGGGTGATCATGTGTCTCGTTACATGAGACTTGTGATGAAATCTTTTCCCACATTCATCACAAGCAAAGTTCCTAGGTCTAGAGCTGACCTTGTGCTCTCTAGAATGAACCGGCATGTGATACTTCAAATCAGACTTCCGGTAGAATCTTTTCTCACATATGGCACAGGCAAATGGTTTCACACCAGTGTGCCTTACGACATGTCGCTTCAGAGCTTCCTCTCGCGTGAATCTTTCCCCACAATGCTGGCAGGTAAAGGCCTTCACTCCTAAATGTGTCACTATGTGTGCTTGAAGATAGCTGCTCAGTCTGAAGCGTCGGTCACAGAAGCTGCAAGCAAAAGGTTTTTCTCCTTTATGAATCGTCATGTGCTGGTTTAGATTCCCCCTCAAACTGAACTTTTTCCCACATTCCTCACACTGAAAGGGTTTCTCTCCTGTGTGGCGGGCCATGTGGCGCTTGAGGTGATACAGATAGTAAAACGGTTTACCACAGTCGTCACAAACTAATAACTTCTTCTCATCAAGGACTTGTTGTGAATCTGCATTTTGCTCTGTTATAGAAAAATGTGCGTCATTCCAACAGCTTGAGGATCTCTCTCCTGACTGATGGTTCCTAATCTCCCCCGTGTCTTCATGTTTAGATCCAGAAGCTGATGAGTGAACGTCACAATCATCATCCTCAGCGCTGACTTCAGTATCAGAGGAAGCTGAAGTCTTCTCTTCACAGCTTGGGAGTAAATTAGTGTTTGGGTTTGAGTTTTTATCTGGTCCTCCGCAGCCCTCCCCATCAGACTCTGCTCCCATCTGTTTAGCATATCTGCTGGTTGGAGCTTCCTCCTCCATTTTGTTTTCTTTTTTGATGTGTTGATGCTCTGATGAGTGAGGATTCTCATCATTGTCTTCAATCTTCACTGTGACAAAGTTGAATGGAAAACTGGTGCCATCAGGCTCTCCCCGCTCAATAAGCGGCTCTCCATCTGGATCGTCTTCCTTCTTTATCCGAAGGACTGCTGGATTCTGTTGATCCAAACTAGAGCTCCACAGATCAGGAACCTCTTCTTTAACAGCGAATGCCTGCTGCTCACCTGCAGGACACACATAGACTTAAATGTTAATAATGTACTTTTTTTTTTTCTCAGTTTGAATAACTTCATAAATATTTGCCACCTTTAGTGACAAAAGACACAATCTGTTAAAGATGGAAAAGTTCAGTCCTGCTTCTGGTGCACACTCAGGAACATCTTCAGTCAAATAAATCACTTTTGGATAAGTAGAAAATATCCCTTTTTAAATGTTTTTATTCCAGACGCTCTTCATACTGTCACCGGAAACTCACAGGAATCTAAACATGATGCATTTATTTGGGGAAAATCTACTGTTAATAAAGTGGAAGGCGAGTAATCCAGTTTGCATAAAGGAGCAATTGTAATCTGATGTAATATTAATAAAGAATAATCTTTCATCTTTGGCTTACCTTCAGCCTAAAAGCTGCCTAAAAAAACAACAAACTAATTGCAGACTCAGCTCTTCCTGATTTGATACTTGGCATTCATTCACTCAAAGAGGAACCTTACAAAATATGAATCTGCATGGCTGCCAACACCTAATTATCTTATCTATTTATCATCTACATTAGAGATCCATTTAAACACTGATTTTACCTTGGCTGCAAACTAGTGCTACATAAATAAAGATTCCTCTCTCTCTCTTCACTGAAACCATGTAGGTTTTACCTATTTTACTTTGAGATTTGCTGTAATAAAATAAAGAGAATATTCATTTTAAGGCTTTTTTTTTAATTAAGGGGAAAACCATAGTGTATAGTCATAGCAATTACATATTTCCAGATATTTAAGATATTTTAATCTTTCTGTTAGTAATGATTAATATCTCTGACTGGGCATATCTGGTTGGAAATTACTGGACTTTTTTTTTATTTTCCTCCATTTGCTGCAGGTTTCTATACAAAAACGTATAATATATATATATATATATTTTTTTTTTTTTATGAATTTACAGATCGCTCCAAAAGACATTCACCTTCATTGGAATATTTTGAGGTTTCTTCTGCAAACTTCAACATCTTCTTCGCAGAGCTTGGTCTTCCACCATTTTCCTTCCAAAGCCTTTTACCAAAGTGTGCATCAGCCATCGGCTTATATCTGTTTTGACGTGTTGAAAAAGTAGAATTTCATCTAAAATATACATTAAATTAAATGTTTTTGTTTCCTTTTTCAAATATTCAATTTTTATTTTACCTATTGATCTGAAGAAGTTTCTGTGGCTTAAAGCTTCATCTGCTGACTGTCTTTGAACTGGAAGGAAAAACCGTCTGGCTGGTTTGGCTCCTATTAATGCCTGAGATGGAAGAAGATAACATAATTAGGATAGACAATTTAGATTTATATGAAAATAATAATTTATAAGAAAATGTGTAAAAAAAAAAAAATAAGAAAAATGTTTTACATCATAAACAGGCTTACCACACCAGTCTGAGGTAGGGTCTTTCCAGCCACATCCCTCCATCCACTCCACTCTTGCAATAATTAAATCTAAGGCACCTGCAGACATATGATTCATATAGAAGTTCTAAAAATTAAGAAAAAAATCAGAAGATCTGAAGTTTCTGTGAAATTAACCCTCACTTTAAGATCACATCTGTTTCAGGTTTCAGTTGGAATGTATCTGCATTGCTCTTTGTGATCCACAGCCTTAGTGCTCCAAAAGTGAGAAGCTTACATAATCTGGAATAAATAATGAAATAAAACTCTAGTATTTCATGCAGGCGATAATCATCTTATCTGATGGGGGATTGCTGTATGAATAGAAATGCATGAAGGGAAGAGGTTTTATTTAATGCCAGGAGCTTATTTTTGGAGTCTGCATGAACTCCCTATGCATGCAAGGGGAATGACAGATGCTTCCCAGTCAGACTTTACACACCAAGGTCTGCAGCATCAATAAAACAAATAAATGAATAAACTACGCAATAAAATACATTCAAGTCCATGGGGGGAAACTAAAAGATATTCAATAAGAACAAAGTCAAGTATGATCATGACTTAGAGCATGCAAATGATCAAATTATACCTATAGAATGTATTCACACATTAATGATTGGTTTAGATAAGCTCTCTCACCTCTCAGGCAGTCAGCAGGACTGTGTAGACTTACCTGCAGAGGGAAATCTAGTCATTTTCATTATAGTTCGTTATTAAATGGTAATGACTATGTTGTATCCATCTGCCCACTTTTCTTCATTGGACTTGAATTATCTTGCACGTAAAAAGTTTTACAGCGTTTCTGATGACAGGCGATCTGTGTTTACAGGTCTGCATTTGCAATATGGCGGGGGATCTCGCGATGCGGTGTGGGTCACGCGTGACGTCATTTCATCTGGGTTTTAACAACTACTTTTTTCTTATTTTTTTATTTGCCTTTTCTATAGATAGATAGATAGATAGATAGATAGATAGATAGATAGATAGATAGATAGATAGATAGATAGATAGAT